GGTAAGATGGCATGCAGAAATTATAAAATTAAAAATATGAAACCATAATTTATGAAATAAACAATTATGATCTAAAGGGTATCAAAATTTACACACAAAAAAAGCTTAATATTTATTTGTTTACTTTATTAAACATTTCTTTCAATGTAAGTTGTTTAAGTTGCATCGTTCATGTGATTACTTTTCTTTAATTCTATTAAACAGAATAATTTCTGTTTAGTTACAAAGTTCTGCTGTTCAAGTCCTATAATTGCTGTGTCGAGAATACAGACTAATTTGTCAATCGAAATTTTTTCGTTTTCGATAACCTCTGTGTCACTTTCTTCACTATCGGAAGCGAATTATAATGACGAGGAACTTGATTTAAATCATATCAAAGACGGAGTACATCGAGATGAAATACTCCATTTAGTAAGGAATTATAAGCCAAATAAAATAAAAGCATCTGCCCTGAAGATAAGGATAGTGCTGACAGATCAACTTCCAATTCATTGCGCGCTGTGTCTTTTCCCTCCCCCCGCAGAGCAGCGTGAAATTGATAGACATATTTCGGAATGATTACATAATCAAAGGATATGCCTTTATCCATTTTTTTCAGCAATTCCACTTTCTGTTTAATGGACATTCGAAACGTGCTTTCACTTTGTAGTTCCTTTGACATATTAGCTCCAGATATATCGGAAACTCTTTTTGACATCAATCGAAAGTTCAAGCGTAATTTTTATAAAATTCCTCTAACAGTCTGCAAAAAATAAGCCAGATCCAATTTGAAGATTAAGGAACAACGCAACCTGCAACATTAACTGAAATACATAATTTTAGCTTAGCTTATACCATTCGTTATATATTAAACGCGCATGCGTAAACATATTATGCGCATGCGCACACGCATATTTGCAGCCGTAAAGGTCTTACATGCACACGTAAATGCCTATGCGCATGCGTAGAAAGTTTGTAGCTTTGAGGTCCGGATTATGGGTGTCCGAATTAAGGACTTTTGACTGTAATGGGTATGATTTTTTTATTCCAATGAAAACTACACATATTCATGGGAGTTTGATAGGATTCGGAGTACATTGTGGATACATACAGTTGCTTCGAGTGCAATTACATGCTCTAAGAATAACATTAGCACAGTAGTAGGTTAACCCAAAATCACTTGCTTTTAAGTTAGCACAGATTAGCACACAAGATATAGTTTGACATTGTTTCAAGTTATTTTACACATATTATTTATTAAATTATTCATTGTTAAAAGGATGCGTTGTGACACAATTTCTGTTTTGAATTACATTTCAAAATTAAAACTATTCTTTATTGCATTGTGAGCCACATTTGAAGGATCAAAGAGCTGTGTGCAGTGTGCAAGCCTCAGTTAGTTCATGCCTTGTGTTTGCATTAGATCTGTGATGTGCAATTATAAAAATATCAGCTCCTTAGAAGCAGAACATTCATACTGTTTACTACAATTCTTAATTTATTATGACAAAACATTCTGAAAATCTAAAAGAATTTTCATGTTTAATTTTTAATAACTCTGACTTTTATGGTGTGTTGGTGTTGGTGTATTTAATTATGGCAAAGCACACGAGGGCTATCTGCCTAAGGGGAGGGATGCCTTTCGTGGAGGACTTTCTAAGGGAAACTGGCTCGTATACACGTTACACATGGGGAAAACCACGAAAACGCCCATGCAGCCAGCCCGCTCTGACTTTTATGAAATATATGAATTGCTGTTTCAGAGACGTGTCTCAGTGGGATATAAAACATTCAGCACAGAAATATATACACTTCTGCCCATAAAAAGAAACTTTTTTCTTTTCATCATCAACTTATAACAAATTTCATGGCACATTTGAATAATGTACTTAAATATACCATTTTGTTTTTTAACATTTGAATTTACATTTAAATAATGTACTATCCATTTTATTTTACCACTAAATAACACTTTAATGAACTATACGGCCTCGTCTATATGTTGTCATCTTACTGAGTTTATTAACTTTCTTTGTGACATGGTCATTTTTATATAGTTATGTGTGTGATGTTCCTCTTATTTTATGTTATTATCTCTATCTTTAAAATACTTTGCAATATGTATTCTGAATTATAAAAACAAATAATAAGGAAAAATGTACAAAAGTTAATAAACACTATGTAATTATAATATTTCAGAAACAGTTCTGAAACTGCTATGATGTGGAAGGTCAATCAAATACTGCATTTTTAAATAGATGGGTGGAGGCATATTTTCATTGCAACTGCATGAAAATTAAGAATCATCAAGTACAGTTTTATAGTTTCTTTTATTATGGTACAATAATGAGAGGCTAATCTTTGGAATATGGTAACAGGTAGTTTGGCGACATTTTGGTAAGACGATAAAGATTACTAGCTAAGACTTTAGCAGTGTACATGGATAAAGTCAAGAGTGTGCGCAATGCCATTTTTGTGCAATTTGGGATGTTTTTAAGTGAAAATAGGTGACGTGTACATGGATGATACCATGTATGTGCAATTCTTAAAAACGCGGTAAGCAGTTTGCAATTCTGCACCTAATCTCACATTGTCATCATGATTAAGCACTTTTGTTCCATAAAAGTTCTAGCATAAGCGTAATTCGGCTAGCAGATTGTTGGAAAAAAAATGTTGAGTAAAAAAAAAAAAACATGCTTTTACTTCGTGAAAACATAATGGCGTCCAAACATAAACTAGCAGGTTGCTGTAGCAGGGTTGATCGCCAAATTTTCGCCAAAATATCGCCAAGTTACCATAATCCAAAGATTAACCTAATGAGATTTTCAAGAATTGAACATGTATAGGAAGTAATATTGATTAAGGTATAAAAAGGATAAAGTTTTCAAGGCTTCAAATGAACATTAATAGATTGTACTGAAAAAGCTTAACTGAATTATAACAATGATTAAAATTCTATGCCACAAATTTTATTACAATTAAAACTGCTTTAATTAAATTTTAGCATTAGAATCATGCATTAAACTAAGTATTTGAAAAGAGTAACTACACATATAAAAATAATAATTTTGAATTTGAAATTTAAAATAAGGCTAGTGAGAAAAATAAAACTTGTTCTATGTCATATGAGATATTATTCTGTATAACCATGAAGTCTGATTCAAGCAGAATGTAAGCCATGTCTATTTTCTTTTCTTAAATTCATATACAGTAGGAAAATATGTATCTATATAAATGTAATTACCAAATTATTTTGGTTTTAATAAAATTTCTAAAATAAATTAAAAAACTGCAGTTCAAAGAACTAAATTTCACAAACCAAAAAATTCATTTTACTAAGTTGTTAAGTTAAAAATTTATAAAAATGTTCCAGTTATTTTTTAAATACGTATACAGGGCAATTATTTGATAGATGTCTGCTGGCTTAGTTTCTAAAAATAATATTATTTTTTAGTGATGATAGAGACTTAATATTTGGGATAATTGCTTATTGATTAATAGATACAGTATTCAATAATCTTTATCTCAAATGATGTTTTCAAAGCAAAATATTTAAACATCTAGAAATAAGTTTCAACTTTAGCTTGCTATTTAATATGTATATGTAGAAATAATATTCTGTATATATGCCATATTTACATTTTTTAGCAGAAATAAGAATTTGACTGATTAATACATATAGATATTGAAATCCAAATGTAACTGTCATTTATTGTGTCATAAATGTATATTAGTTAAATTTTTAAACTAATTTAGCTAGATAAAACAGTAAAGTTAGTAAAAACAACTGTCAAATACCAGAAAACATGACTTTTAAATCCTTTTAATCTTAAACATGACCCCACTAGTGGCCAAATGTTTAAGACTGCTGAATCCCTTGTAGTTTAATGGGGGTTCGAATGCTGACTGCGTGGTTGGTTTTCTCCATGTGTAATATGGATATGAAGAAGTTTCCTTAAAATGTCCTCCACAAAGCCTTCCTGTCCCTAGAGCAAACAGCCCTCTTTGTCATATTGAAATAATTTAGCCTTTTCTCAACATAATTTCCTTTCTGCCATCAATTATTGATTAATAGATAAAGTATTCAAGAATCTTTATACCAAATGATTTTTTTTCAGATATACAAATTTCATATATTTATGCTTTCAAAGCAAAATATTTAAACATGCAGAAATAAGTTTTAAGTTTAGCTGCTTGTTATTTAACATATGTAGAAATAATAAACTGTTATATGTTCCATATTTACATTTTGTAGCAGAAATAAGAATTTGATTGATTAATACATATAGATACTGAAATCCAAAAGTAACTGCTATTTTTTCTCATAAATATATATTAGTTGAATTTTAAAACTTATTTAGCTAGATAAAACAGTAAAGTGAGTAAAAAACTGTCAAATACCAGAAAACATGACTTTTAAATCCTTTTAATCTTAAACAAGGCCCCACTAGCGGCCAAATGTTTAAGACTGCTGAATCCCTTGTAGTTTAATGGGGGTTCGAATGCTGGCTGCATGGTTTTCTCCATGCGTAATGTGGATAAGAATCAGTTTTTTGCTTTGGGGAGGGGGAGAGGGAGACTTTAAAATCTTTTAACTGTGTCATCAGAAAGAGCAATTTTATTAACAGTTTGACTAACATTTTTCCCCTTTTTAAAATATGAGCATAATATGATGGAAATGACTTTTGGGTTCTTCATAATACAGTACTTGCTAGAATTATTCAGTGTGAGCAGACCATATTTAAACATATGCTTCATTTAAGGTCACTCCTAATCAGAAGTAAAAAATAATTAGAAGAAAATGGTCTTTGATTTCTAATTTTCATTTGAATCAATCAGCTATTCATCCCACATTATTATGAAACGGTATACCTAATCATACCTGTTCTTACCATTTGGGGACTCTGGTTGGAGGAATGTGTGTATTCAAAATTTGGTGGCTTTGGGTACTGCTGATTTTTCAAAGTGTGAAGAGCATACCTACATATAGATTCTTCATTATTTAATAACAGTTATACACATAAAAATACAAAGTCTAATTTAATGTTACTCATTATTTTCCATGTTACAACAAGCTTTGACAGACGAAGCTAACAAATGTATATACAAAATTTTATTCCACATTTATAATTACATGCTAAAGTTGCTCTGAAAGAGATAACAGTAATTTTATGTACATATAAATATTTAGAATTTTGAAATGATTTTATAACTACTACATCTATTTTTTTAACACATATATCATTTGGGACTAACAATTTAACAGATTACATATCAGATTTGAACTATTCATCTGATAATTTTTAAGACAAATATCTCTTCTTAGATGCATTTAGATATTTTCTTTCTTATACTTGATTTTCCATTTCGTAAAACAAACTGTCTCCTTTTTCTAGATATATAAATCAAATTTTCTATTTATAACTGATCTTCTGAAAGAACAGTTGATTGTTATGACAGATTCATTATGTTAAACTGAATCAATAATTAAAAAATTTCATATTTATCAGTTTAATATAACAAATAGGGAAAAAAATTTCCATACATTTCTCTTTAAAAAATTGTGTACTTTTTGCAACTAAGATTAACGATTATCATAAATCATATTAGAAATACTGAATAATTTAACTGCAAAGTTTTTAAACCTGTAGACTAGAAAAGATAATAATCATAAAATATCACTTGATACATTAAGTGACAGCTTCATCACTGGAATTTGAAGAATCATAATCAAATGCCACCAATGAAGTCTTCTGAATTTTTACTTCATTATTTACAACTGAATCATCAGGACTTGTCTTTTCTTCCAATTTATTTACTTTTGGAGTGATTCCCAGTTCTGATTTGTTAAGTGGTTTTAGCAAAGTTTTCATTTTAGATTCCTTTATCAGATTTGCTAAGCTATGTTTTTCATTAGATGTTGATGATGGAAACCAAGGCTTTACAAGTGCTTCTTCTCTCTTTTGTTTTTGCCTCTCATCAAAACCTATAAAAATGAAATTATAATAAAAAAAAATTATTCAACATTTTATAATGCTACTTTTAATTGTAGGATAAAATGCACACATGAAATTTAGTTATTATTTTAAATTTGTGAAATTATTTTTAAATTCTGAAAGAAAAATTGAATATAAACACAAAATTATAAAACAAATAAAAAATATGAAAATTTTTCTTGTAATTTTGAATAAACACAACATTTCTTACCAAATATCCAAACAGACTATAAACTTATGCAAGTCACATAAATTCAGCTTCTTCTTAAAATTATACATACAAATGTTAAAACCAAAACATTATCTGCATATATATTAGTAAATATATGGCATTAAAATAATGCTATGCTAATAAATTTGAAACAAGATAGATCTTTAAAACTGTCATATATTATAAAATAAATTATATATTATAAAATCATATATTATAAAATAAGTTACAAAATGATCAGTATGATATATTCCTGTTACAAGTTAATAAATGAGGTACTATCAAGTTTTAATCTGCCAATAATTACATTTTAATAATCATTGAACATACTTTTTAAAGGCGTCAATTTCAACAATCCAGCTAATCTACGATCTTCATCAGTTTCAGGCAGGAGTGAAAGATTAAGTGAGGACTTTTTTAGGAGAGCAGAATCTCTTTCTTGAATACGGGCGAGATCTTTTTTACTTTCCTAGAAAAAGGGAAAAAATTAACATATATATATATATATATATATATATATAATATATATATGATTCCTAAACATTGCACAAAATTAATTTATGCCAAAATATAATGGATCTGATTCCCTTCATATGCCTATTTTATTATATTAAATGAACAGCATTTTAAAATTCTAGTGAATATGTTACTGCTACACAAATAATTCCAGATAAAATAAAATTAATAAAAAATGTAGGAAACATATATAAATGTTTTCTAAAATATATTCTAATATTTTTCCCACCTTAAATTCATATATGGGGCAACTTCCCCTTGAAAAGATCTGTCTTCTGCCTATTCAACAATTATTCACTTCATGCAAATTAATTTAGAAATTCTTTAAAATTTTTTGGGTTATTAAAATTTTGTGATTTTAGATACTTGCACTTAATTTATGCTCTCTGAATTTGAATGATATTGCAAATTAAGTTTGCAGCAATAATTAATCTTTTATTTGTATACAATTACATTTTCATAATTTTTAATTTAAGCTTTAAATTAGCTTCATACGAATGACAGAATATTTGTTAAATTCATATATATATATATCTATGTATAATGCAATGTTCAAGAAATAAAACCAAAACACAGAAGAATTTCAATAATTCACAACCATTTAATTCATCAATGCTTGCAATTCAAGCCTATTTTTGGATCTAAAGAAACAAGATTTCAATTTTTAGAAAATTAATCATGGTAAATTTAATGGTAGTTTTTTCTTACATATTTAAATAAACTTTTTACAAAAATAAACTGTATTTATAACATATTTTGATTGAAGAAGTGAACCTATTTTATTTATGTACTTATAGTGTTCTCCATGCATTTATTACCACCCAGTTTTTATATTAAACATGAATTAGGAATTTGCAAACTTTCCATTTTAGGATGGATGTATATGCCTTTAATTTTTAGAATTCTTTTTATTTAGTTAAGATGTGTAAAGAATTGGCCTATCTTCGGTTTTTCTGACACTAAGTTCCAACTTAAATATACCTCACAGCAGTTTTGCTTACATGCTGCTTAATGAGCACTAGTTTATATTAGCAGCAAACAGGGATAGATTCTTAATAAGAACTCTTACAGAGATTATTCTAGCATTAATAATGGAAAAATGGCAACAATGGGATATAAAACAGATCCCAAATTGACATAAAATTTTAGAGGCAACAGTACTGCTAGAGTTTTTATCAACAATGTATTTATTTACCTGTTTTTTCTTGTTTTAAGTGCATAAAAATAACTCTGAAAATTATAAGTAGAGTTTTTGATATAAAATATTTCAATGTGATTCACAAAAGAGTTTTTTACTTTTCAAATATTTTCTTCTAATATATCTCTTTTCCTCTGTAATATGTTTTCCCTTTGTACAGGCATTATTATTCTGTTAGTGTGTAAAAAATTACAAATTATTAAAAATACATTAGTTTGGCATTATATAAGTAATTCTTAAGTTATGATTTGGTAAGTTTTACATGCAAACCAAATTAAAAAAGGAAAGATGTACATGTAACAGAATGATATGACTAAGAATCTGTTAGATTCTCTAATTCATACAATTCTTAGTCCAAAGTATGTAGTTTACTGGAATTCTACTATATTAAATATATACATATATGTGACAGCTTATGATAGACATTACATTACCCTAAACTTCTGTCGAAGAGCCTTATTGAGCATGTAATCATCCTTCCATTTTTCTTTGTATTCTTCTAATTGCACAATAGACGGTGCAAGTGTTTTCTGTTTTGCTTTATCTGTTACACCATGCTCCAAACGAAACATAGAGTCCATCACTAACTTTTTTTGCACATCTTTGTCTAAGAAAGAGAAATAAACAGAAATATATATTTTGCAATAATAAAAATAGTAATAATTTGAAATAATAAAAATAGTTGCCTAAATAAGGAAGCATAGCAAGGAAAGAAGCTGTTAAAAGTTTGTTTACAGTAAAATATTGTAAATAGTTAAGCTATAAATTACACCTTAATCTATATTCATAACTGAATATAAAAAGAATGAAATAAAAAGAAATTCTAAGAAAAATAAACTGATAATTAATAAAGTTCCAGCCAATTAAGAGGCAGATTATAATTTTAACGAAATACAACTAAAACTATTTATGAAAGATGCTCTGAGTTTGTAAAGTGATTTTAGTGATATCAGAATAGTTCTTGACTTAAGGTGGGAGATTTTTATTTGCTACATTATTCTCTTAGAACAGTGGTGCTCAGCTTATGGCTTGAGGGTACCTGGTTACACACAATACTATCTAATGTAGCTGATTCGAGAAAATGTTTTAATGGGATTTGTTGGAATGCCATCAGAGTTTAAAAATTGTCCCATTTTCAAAGACAATTACAACTAAGAATTTTATGATAAGGAGTGGCTTGCTGACTTGGCATTTTTAACCAATATCACTGCAAAACTCAACGACCTAAATACCACATTGCAGAAAAAAGAAAAACAAACATCAGGAATGATGAACTTAATATCTGCTTTTCTGGCTAAAATCGATTTGTGGAAGAAAAAATTTACTGGAAAACAACTATCAACATTTTCCGTCATTTACTCACACTCGAAATTTATCCTGGAGTGTGATCTATCTAAGCATGTTGAAAATCATCTGTTACTCAACTTAGAATTTAAAAGAACACTGCAAGACATTTTTCCATAGAGCTTCTTTTATTGTTTATAAAAAAATCCTTTCTTGGAATTAAATATAATATTGAGCATGACTTCGTCAATGGACAGCTTTTGTTTTATAAACAAACCAGAGGCTGAATTAAGAGATTACTACTTACTGATGTAACATTCAAAAGCACAGAAAATTAAACTAATGGACACTATTAAAAAGAAAAACATACTTAGGTGTGCACTAGCAGGGAAAATACTTTTTGGGTCAATATACCTCTGTGAGCAGGCTTTTTCACTACATTAAATAATAATAAAAAAAAAAAGCATGTACAAAAGTATGTTTACTCCACAGCATGTGAGAAAAAAAACATGGTGATGGTATGCTGTGTATCAGAATATATGCCAAATTTTAATAAGTTGTCAGAGAAAAGTAATAACCAAATATCTCATAGCAAGTTAATGACTTAATGCTGTATTGACTTCATTAAATATTTGAGAATTAAACAATTGCATTTCTTGTATTAGTAATTAGTTTATTAGTATATGCTTTTTTTATTTTATTATTTGAAATAAAATTATTTTGAACCTTGTAGTGTTCCTCAATTTTCTTCTACTAAACTAAGTGTTCAGGAACCTGGTGAACAGCTAAGCGAATAATGCTTTATTACAAGAATAGAAATGTAAACTCAAGAAAGATTAATTGCTCTTTATTTGCTCAAAAGAAAGATTTACAGTAGGCTCCTTTCTCAGGGCATACAACAAAGCCTCCCTTTGGGCTTAAATTCAAAATGTAAAGGAATACAAACTAACTAAGGAGATTTGGCCCAAGCTAACAATTCTAAACTAGTTGGCCTGTAATATTAAGTTAGCTAGCAAAGCTATCAAAAAGCATGTAATGCAGCCGAGCATAGTGACAGTTAGAGAGACATAGCCAAAAGGCAAATGTGTGCTATTCAGGAATCTTAGCTTTCTCTCTCGAAGTCAGGGACTTGATAAATACTTCACTTATTTGCATTTAAGCGATTCTAAACCTTTCTGGTAAGGTTTTAAGCTGAAGTAGAAGAGATAGGAAAGTTCTAAATTAAAAATAAATAACTGTTATAAAAATTAGAATATACACTAACCCAGACATTTCCTTTTTAGTGGATTTCTGTTTTGATGGTTTGTATATTTCTTTTTGGAAACACTCATTCAGTTTATATATTTAAATAAAATCTCACAAACCTACATCAATGCCCATACATGGCAGAAATTTAAATAGCCCTAAGGCAAAATGGTTGGAATATCGAAGCTAAAATTTGCTTGTGTTTGATATGCAGAAGGTTTAGATATTTTAACTTCTATCTTCCAAACACATTAGCTCTTTAAACTATATTAGATGTAAAATTTATAAAATTGGGATTTTATTATTATTTGTTAGATAACAGGTAGCAGAATTAATTACCATTGGATGGATTTATAGAAATATATCTAAATCTAAAATCATAACCCAAATCAAGTAACAAGAAATGTGAAATCTTTCCTTTCCTCTTTTAGGGGGGGGGGAGTCTTTTATTTATTTATTTATTTAATGGGCTCAAAATGATGACAATTTTCAGTTAACATCAAATAAAAAAGAAGTTACTGCACTCTTCTAAGGGATACTTGTGAAAATGCAGATAGAGTGGCACTTCAGAAGCCATACAGAGATATAATGTGAAAATTTGCCATCAAATGCTGAAAGGCACTTGCATTAATAACTTTTTTGCAGCTTCAAAAATCACTGCGGACAGCAGTTAAGTAGCTACTGCTGATCTGTGGCCCATCTAAAAATAAATTACAATTTTTTTCAAACTTCTAAGCTAGTGTTCTCAAACTCAAATTACATTCAAGCTGAAAGCATGATCTGAAACAAGCTAACAGGTTTTTTTTTTTTTTTTTTTTTCTTTTTTTTTAAACCAATGTAAGAAAAGTCTTTTTTAACATAACTAAATTCTAAATTTTATTTACTGAATATTAATCATACATAAACAATAATAATAATGACACAACAGGAAAAATTAAAACTTATATTTATTTTCTGTCTGAAAACTAAATGTTAATTAATATCTGCAAGAAATTTCTGATTTCATTTTGTAATTCAAATGTATTGACAGCTGAAGATTAAATTTTCAGACTGACATTTATATCAGATAAACCTAATGTTCCGAATAAACCATTAAATAGCTTGATTTTAACCTAAAATAGGCAATCCAAATGGGACAAAACTTAAGAACAATTGATGACACAATATACTCTTTTATACATACAGAAAATAAAAAATTTTTTATTAATTTTTTATACATACAGACAAAAGACAAGTACTTGAATATAAATAAACTTCTTTATTCCGTACTGCAACTTTCAACTATAACACCTCAGTGCATTTCGCTTTTGATAAAGTTTGTAATTTTGGAAAAAAATTACTGAACATTATTTTCATCACGAATGGTAGATGCTCGTTGATTATTCTGGTTCTTTTTTTAGATTTATTAATTTGAAGCTTTGGAAAAAACTGGTCATATAAATAGCAAAACAAAGCAATTATTCTTATTGTAAAAATTCATAACTCAGATTATTTATTTTTTGACAAATATGGAGGAAAAATAATCAAATATGTATCTTCAAATAAGATGTATACCACAATGCAAATTAATCAGTTACATTTCTAGGAACATTAATTACGTTCTTTTTTAATGATAATGCAAATAATGTTAAATTCGACTGCAAATCATTAAAATCATAAAGCATTCTTCAAATTTTTGTAAACATAATGTTAATTAATTTATGGGAAATGTAATAATGGGCCACAAAAAGTTGCTTTGGAGGCAGCCAGTTTGAGACCTTTTCTCTAAGCAGCTAAACTGTAGATCTCTACATATAATAAAAGAAAGAGTCTGTCTGTGTGTGTGTGTATCTTTCGTTCGTGCTGCGTGTAAGCTAATAGACCCACGGCTACGAAATTTGGTACATAGGTGCATCTAGACAAGAGCCATTGCACCTCAAAATTATTTTTTCGAAATTCGAATTAAATTGTTTTTTATTTTATGCGAAGCTACTAGTATACATTAAAAAATATTTGTCTTGATATTAAGTACACAGACATGCATTTTTTAAAATGTGTCCAGATAATTAAAGTAGCATATATATTGGAAGAAAATAAGTCAAAGTCCGAACTGGGAGGGTCATTTTGGAATTCTAATCAAGAAAATCACTCTTATGCACAGTCGTTTTGAGAAATTTAGGAATTTTGGGCTAAACTCTTAGCCACTTGGAGGATTAAGTAAGAATTTATATTTTTAGGACTTCTTTAATATTTCTATTGAAATGTCATTGATTGAAAGCGCTTCTTTTTTTAGTGACATTTTTTTCCCTTGCTGCTTTTGCAGTCATTAAAAGCAACAAGTACCCGAATAACAAACAAAATAAATAAAACAAAATTTTTCATCAAAAATCCATGAAAAGTTTGGCAGTTTTACTGAACGTTGAAATCGGTGGTGCAGATAATCAGAAAGTACCAAAATATTTTTTAAAAATAAAAGAAATAATTTTTTCATTGACTTTTTAAATAAAAGACACAATTACATTTTTTTCTTCTGACAAAATAAAAAAATAGGAAATGTAATGCTAAAGGGGGGGGGAAAAGGTATAAATACCTTCAGGAACAACTTGCTCATTTTGTGTTGGATCCCATCTTCTTTCTTGACGCCTAGCTCCTTCAAGTACAACATAATCTAAATTCTGCAATAAAATATTTAAAAAAAATTACTCAACAGATAAAATTTAGTAATCATAATTTGTTTAAATGATTATTTAACAATTTTATGTTAAATATATATTCAAATCACAAACAAATAAAAATTTATTGCTAACTGCAGTTTCATGAAATACATATTGATGACATAGTAGTATTTGTTTTTTTAGATGTGCCAGCTGATGTCTTCAAGTTTCATTCAATACTAGATGGGAATGTACAATTTATCTTGAAGGCTGAAAATTTTTTTCTTGGATATACTAGTTTTAAAACCTGCCAATAAATTTCACATGAGTATTTTTCATGCGTCTTTTATTGTTTTCTTGCTATCAAGTGCATATTTTGTTCATTCATACAAATAGAAAATAGCTGTCTTTCAAGTCTCTGGCCATGCAGCAACCCTTTACTTCTGTCACTTAAACAAACAAACAAACAAAAAAACTTGATATTCTTAAACATATAGCCTCTCTTTAAGATCATTTTTCTAACATAATTAATATTCTAAAAGAGCCACAAGGAGTGGCAGGTCTGTGGAATTGATCAAATCTTTATCCTTTGTGGACTTTACAGATGGTCTGGAACTCTGTGGGGTGATGGTGTTTCTAGTTAATTAACATATAGGAACAATACTTCACTGCTTGGTCAATAACTGGTGTCTTCTATCCTTCTACCTATTTTATACTATGCCACCCAGCTGGTATAGTCATTAGTACTGATGACTGCCACAGTGGTGGGCTTGAGTTCAAGACCTGCATGGATGTAGTATACCGTATTTGACGGCATATAAGATGCACCCTTATTTAGAAGGCCACACACATGTAGATGTAGAAAAAGTTGTGTGTGTCTAGATCTTTATCCGGGCTAAAAATAGTGTTCAGTATTGAAAGCTAACCTGTGTCCTTCACGTATAAGACGCAGGTAACTTTTTTGAGACCAAATTTAGGAAAAAAAAGCGTCTTATATGCTGTCAAATACGGTATATGCAGCAAAGGAGCACTCAAAATACACAGCTGAAAGACCTTCTGAGAAGTTGGTCATGGGAGAAGAGGGGTGGGATACCCTCAGACCATTCCCAGGAATGTTCTACCTTAAAACTGGGTGGAAAGGCATAGTTAGTGCAGCAGGACTATAACAGTATGACCAGTGGTAAAATGCTGATATTCCATCCACTTTTACTCGTACCTATACCATAATCAATATAACATATAATAAATTTTCTAGACCTTCATTCCCTTCAACATTCAGCTACCTCATGTTCTGATGCTTAAGTTCCTACCATCTCTTACTTTTCCTCCTTCAACTCAGCCAATTCTTTAACAAATGCTTCGAACAGTATGGTGTCCCTAACAAACAAACAGTCATATGCATGAAAGACTTCACAGAGCATTTATAAAATTCTCTGTGAATATAATTTTGAATGTATATAAACAAATCTGCAGATTTTTAAAACTCAGAACATATATGTTAAACAGAACTACAGAAAAAAAGTTTATGACAGCATTACATTTTTGGAATAAAAATTCACAATTTTCAGTTTTTTAAAGGCTGAAATAGTTGTTTACACTATTTCTCAATTTGGATTTCTTTAAAGCTTTGAAAATTCCCTTCCACAGCAATTTTGAGAATGATGCTATTCACAAGGTTGCTAGATCACTATTTCTTCCACAGCAATCTTGCAAATGATATTCTACTCTGTTCTAGTTGGAAGTGTAGAAAAACGTATTCCAAGCTCTATCATCTCTTTTATCAACCACACACCACAGAGTTCCACCACGAATTTCAGAAATTTAAAAAAAGCTTTGATAAAGTTGGATAGCAATCTAAAAACAATGCAATCGGTTAAATTTTATTTCTTCATTTATTTATTATTTACACCACAGTTAATTTCTATACAATAACTGTACGAAGAGTTATTATGAAATAAATTTTTATTAATAAAATTTAGATTTTTGACATATTATCATACTTAAGGATGGGTTTTGGTAGAAGGAATCTTCTCACAGGGAAATTCTAGTTGTGCACCTCTGGGATATACATAATAATCAAATTTTAAACTGAGTGAAATACATTAAGCTTTGATTTTTACACTTCTATCCATAGTTATCTCATGGGCATAAACCTACAAATATTAAAATTGTCACACAAAAGATACTTACAAATATATGACAATAAAAGCAGTCATACACAAATCCATATTATAGTAGTAGAATTAGGCAAAAGTTGGGTTTTAAAGATAAGGGAAAAAGATTGCAGAGTTCAATTTAGTACATTGGAACTTCGATTAGTCTTCAGACTGTTCTCGTGATGGATAATAGACACTCCACCTAAATCCATTATCATAGATTGGAAGTTGGTAATAAAGATCCACTTCAGTATAGTGCATTAAAAAATAAAATATTTAAAACAAACCCAAAACATTCTCTAATTACAACATGACAAATATCAAACATCTTTAACATGATTTATATGCACAGCTACTACTCTATTTTATTTCTTATTTCTATAATTATATGTTTAGAATTTTCTATCGAAATTCCATGTATTAGTTGATGAAATTTTACTATCTGCTCAGTAAATTATTCTTTAAAAGAATGGGGTAACATGTCATATGCAGCCCGGATACACGTGGTCGCCAAATGTGGCGATATTTTGTGTTGGATTATTTAGTTCAGATTTTGGCGAGACTTTGTTTGTATGGCAATCCTTTTTTTATGGAAAATTTTGCGAGGAATGTGGTTGTATTTCATTGTGGTGGTTGTTTGATTACGTGTTGAATAATGGCATATAATTCCATGAAGGAAGTTGTGGAGATATATCAGCCATGTATTTTAGAGTGTATTCAAGCTAGATTTAGTTCGAGAAGATATGCTGTTGAAGTTATTAATGAAGCATTTGTTCATGGTTGTCTTCATGCTGACAGAAGTATATTTTTGCAGTTTTTATGGGATACAGGATTTTTGAAGGCGAACTTGATAGTGCAGGTTTGATACGAAGATTTGGAAAAAATTTGTGTTTCTGATGGATTTTCTAAAGTTGATATATGAGAAGTGCAGGTTTGATACGAAGATTTGGAAAAAAAATTGTGTTTCTGATGGATTTGTAGAAAAATTGTTGAGGATAAAGAATGTGGTTTTCAATGCAGTTTGAGATTTGGATCCTGGTTTTCCTGCAGTAAGTTGACTTCAGAGGAAATTTGTATTGTAATGTTTGAAATTTTGAAACGTAGAAAGACGTATGACATAGCTAATTCATGGCATTTTAGTTCACATGCTTTGTGTGATTGCCATAGTTTTATTAATGAAAGTATATTGAATTATATATTTGATATGTCTGTTCTTACAAGATTTTGTCTGAAATTAATATTTTGCTTTTTGGGGAACTATTTTGAATGGCAACTGAATTTACTTTTTTATTGTTTTAATTTTGCAGAGAGTTATTTTAATTGTTGCATTGCTTTAATTTTGTGTTGTTATTTTTGTAAATTTATTTGTGTTGAAATTGTTTGGAATTTATTGTTGTTATTTTAGTTTAAATTGGTCATCAAACATTTTTGATGAAAAACTTCTCACTTACCTAATTTTTTTTTTTTTTTATTTTGCACTTTTAGCATAAATGTGCAAAAATGCTCACAATGTTTTTTCAGACATTTTTGGCTTTAAGTTTTCAATGTAAACAAAAAATTTAAATAAGTAAAATCATGGAGTTTCTCGCCAAAAATGGTTGGCGAGATAATTTTTGTTACCCCGGTCTGCATATGACAGCTGTTCCAAAGAATGTTATCCTGTGATTAATGAGCTTTCAAAACAATTTTTATTAACATAAAATTTTGCTGCATAGTTTTACTTCATAGTACAATTTTGACTCTTAAAAATAGCATTTAACTCTTTATTTTAAACATAGTTACAAAACAATCATATTTTATTATACTTAACTTTTGAATATTTAATTATTCCAGTGAATATCGGATAATAAAAACTGATGGTTCAAAGGATGACAGGAATTAACTTTCCACTGTATTTTAATGGCACCTTCTATATAACTTAGCATAGTATTAAAATAATTTAAAAGCTATAAATTGGTTCAAACATAATAAATAATTTAAAACTAAAAAAAAAAAAAAAAAAAAATAAAAAAAATAAACACTTACTTGAGGATCTGTCTGTATTTCAAAATGATTGGTACATAAATGACATTTCATGCGAAACTTATACACAGGAGTTGTATAATACATTCCAACTTTTGTTTTCTCAGCATTATATCGTACACCCATTCCAATATGATTTTCACAACCATTGCACCAAATATTGAAAGGCATCTCAAATCTGCAAAAATAAAATAATTATATATTTATCAGTGAATGCAAAATTACTTCTTACATAACAAATATAACTTAAAAGTCTTAATACAATGTGAAACATGCACACAGTTGTTATACTCATTCATTAACCTGACTTATGATGTCAAACTATGAGATAATAATTGGATTAAATTATACAAAATAAGAACAAATATCATTTTTTGACTAAAAGCACATTAAGCAAAGGGTAAAATAACTAGATATCTACAGGGGGAAAAAGGCTGTGGTACTTACGTATTATCGCAACCAGGTTGGCGCTATCTGTAAGTTTGAGTAAAAAAGTATGAATAGAAAGAAAATGTACATTTATTAATTACAGATAATTTTTTAAGACAGTTTTTTATATTTTGTTTTAAAATATAAAATAGAAATTAAACCCTTCCGGTTCGAATCTGATAAATTGCAGAATTATTTTTTCGGCGGAAATCATTTGGCATGCTTTTAGCATGATTGAAGAACCGTTGGCGAACCGTATTCGCCATAAACCATGTACAGTCGACTTATTTTACTTAAAAAACATCCCCGATTGCACAAAAATGGCATTGCGCACACTCTGACTTTATCCATTGTACACTGTATTTTTCATAAATAAAAAATTGCACGAAAATGCAGGAAAATTTGTGAATCTCCATGCTCTTTTCAAAAAAGTCTAAACACTAGGGGTTCAAGTAGGGTCGCCAAATTTGGCAATTTATGCGAATTTTGGCCTGGTTGCGTTAATACGTGAGTACCAGGCTGTTATTTACTAACAAATAATTATGTGTATACAAATCCCAAATACAGGCAAAAAGCAACCTTCTGTTCGGCATAAAATTTAATCAAACTCTTTTGATTTCAAACAAGCACAGGTCCTTCTTTATCAGAAGCTCCCCCCCCCAAAAAAAACAACTTTTGGCAGATTTTTTTTGCTCCTGATAAAGACAGACCCGTGCCTGTTCATCCTTGAAATCGGCAGAGTTCTGATTAAAAGCTATGCCAAACATAAGGCTACTTTTTGCCGAATTTTAAGCATTACTTTGCCTTGTTCATCTCTTTTAACAGTATCTTTCCTTTAAAAATCATTTTATGCACTTTTCCTCTTTTAAAGGAGAAAAAATTATAGGTAATTAAAATTATAGCTATGTAACTTTAATTCTGATCTTCCTTTAATTTAAATTTAACAAATCGCTTACTTGTTATTACATCGACTGTGTTTCATTAAAAAATAATTAAATCTTATTATGTTTCTAATATATATATATAATAGAAAGGAAAGATAAAAAATACCTAAAACAGTATGTTTTACAGATTCGTGTGCCATCAATACAACTGAACTATCTGGCTAATCTTTGGAATATGGTAACAGGTAGTTTAGAGACATTTTGGTAAGGCGATAAAGGTTACTAGCTAGGACTTTAGCAGTGTACATGGATAAAGTCAAGAGTGTGCACAATGCCATTTTTGTGCAATTCTAGGATGTTTGTTTAAGTGAAAATAGGTCGACGTGTACATGGATATCGTGTATGTGCAATTCTTAAAAACGCGGCAAAGCAGTTTGCGATTCTGCACTTTCTCCCAATTTCGCACCTAATATTTGTCATGATTAAGCACTTTTGTTCAATAAATTCTAACATAAGCGTAATTCGGCTAGCAGATTGTTGAAAAAAATGTTGAGTTAAAAAAACAAAAACAAAAAACATGCCTTTACTTCGTGAACAAAATGGCATCCAAACAAAAACTAGCAGGTTGCTGTAGCAGGGTTGGTCATCAAATTTTCGCCAAAAAATTCGCCAAAAAATCGCCAAATTACCATTATCCAAAGATTAACCAACTATCTTTGTGATATAATGCATATTAAGATAGATATGATTTATTAACATGGATAAAGCCATATTTAAAGCTGGTTCCCTTTCTTAGGTGATCATTATGAAATCATTTTGTCTAGAGGATTTGCTTTAAAATTAAATTTGTATACACTTATTCAGTAAATAGATATACTTGCCAATTAATTTTATGGTGCCAATCAAATATATTTATTTAGGATAGCAATTAATTTTGTTTAGCAAAATGGGTTACCAACAGGGTTAAATACATTAATAAGCAATGGATTGACTGAAAATGCAACAGATAAAACTAATTCGAGACAGTTATGCCCTTATTTATAATACTTAATCTCAATTTTTATGCAATTTTGGTGCACTTGGCAGGAATTTGCACACCTTATTTCTCAAAAACTCTAGTAAAACAAAATGATGCATACCTTTTCTGACCTAAAAAATTATACTAGATTTATTTGTTTCATTACAGTTATGGATACTTATAAACATTCAAACATTGAACTGGCCCAAAGCTGCCAAATCACCGCTGATACTTACATTTTGGTAGCAAGTGGATGTTGTTCCGAGAAATGTTGATTAAATACGAAGTATGCAAATACACGCGTATTCAAAACTTTATGTGGTGCACATACGCATGGGTTTGTTATTGCTACATGCATATTTGCAACTACACATATTTCTACCAAATGTCATGACTATGGATGCAGACGATCAGAATGCACCCAATTATGATATTATGGTATTTGTTAATACAAAATGCCAGAGAAAAGAAGCATTGGGCCTAAGAATGACCAATTTTCATATGTCTATAAATTATGAGGTTAGAGTAGACTGAAGGGTACCCCTTGTATTATCGCAAAGTTGTTGTTTCATTTATCGCCAAGTTGTTGTTTGATTTATTGCCAAGTTATTGTTTCATTTATGGTAACCTGAGTAGTTGAATGTTCCGTAAATATACTTTTACCTAGAATTGGGTGTTCCTTTGAATTTTTACGTGAAAATATATCAATGTGTACATGGACAAAGGGAGTGCACAATGTTGTGTTTGTGCGATTCTCTGATGTTTTCTTCAGTGAAAATAGGTCAACATGTACATGGATAAAGTCAAGGGAGTTGCGCAATGCCTAGTTTGTGCAATTCTGTGATTTTTTTAAAAGTGAAAATAGGTCAATGTGTACATGGATACCCGAGTTTGTGCAATTCTTTGACTTGTTATTTTGTCTTTGGGTAGTGGTGATTTTTGCTAAAAATCGGAGCTACACAAAGACAAAATAACAATTCAAAGAATTGCACAAATTCGGTATCCATGTACCACCAAAAATCGCCAAGAAGTACCCGTAAATATACTTTTTCCACTTATGACAATAACATAACTGTTTTATTATGTGCTTGGTATCGAGAATAGATAATAAATTCCTAAAATATAGAAGTAAATCAGGAAGAATTAAAAAAAAAAATACATAATATCAAATTGGGAAAAAAAAAATGTTGTTTTATCTTCTTTTTTTGCAGCATTTGGCATATTTATTTTTACAAGTTTAATATCTGCATGTTTTGCAAACATTTCTTTATAAGCTGTTTAGTATGCTTATAAAGATTTTTATTATTATATTTTAAATAGTTAATTATTGTTTATACTATTGGATCATATGAAAAGTTCTGTGGTTTTTAAGATCATAGGGACTTCTCTTCTACTTGTTATTGCTGATAAAAAAGCAACTTCGAAGCATATGTTTAAATACAGTCTTTTCTGATCATGTTGTATAATTCTAAGATGCAGTGTGGCATAACTTTTTTCCCCCAATGCAGTGCTAAGAATAGAAAATTAAATTTTTTCTTTTATTTAAAAAAAAAGAAAAAATGCTAGTCGCACTGCTTTAGTTGCGCCAATTATTCCTGCATAATTCTGAAATAACTGATGGCATTTTATTTAGTATATAATCAGTATTCCAGTTACTTTTTTTGCATTTAAAAAAAGTGTTTCATTAATTTCTATTGTTTTGTTAGAACTTCTGATTTTACATGTAACACTGTTCAAAACTCTACGAGTGCAAATATCCTGCAGGTAACTGTTTCAATCTATTACCTTTTTGTCCCCCATATTCAGCTGACAGTACTGTGTCAATTAGTATATACTTTTTACTGATGGTAGGATTCCATAATTTTGAAAATATTACTTCATCACTTGCAGTTTTGTAGAAAGTAGGTCCCAAATTCTAATATTTTTTTTTTTTTTTTTTCCTAAAATGAAGGGAAAAATACAGAACAGTTAATTTATATCCCTGTTTATAGAAACAAAATGTGGCTTACTGAGAACCAATCGAGGTTAAATCAAAGGAAAGTATAGATGTTATGTCTGTATTGTTGATTGATGCTTATCTATTTGTTGGCAAATCGTGTGCTGCTTGGCAATAGTTTCATGGTCGAAGGGATAATACATAAGAAATTGTCTATATTTTTTAAAATAGCTTATTAATGGAGATGAAAAGCGGGATAATATACAATAATGCTGCAAGAAAAAGATTAAAGGGTAAAATAATACTGAAAAGGGTTAATAATACTGAACCTCCTTTAGTAATACTGAAAGGGGGTTGCATTGCCCCAAAATAATGCTTTATGTACGGACGAACTACAAAGAAATCACATATTATGAATTGTTGCCAACAAATCAGACTAAAAATTCAGAAAAGTATTGTACCCAAAAACCACTTTAAAAGCAAGAAACTAAAGCAAAGTTCCCATAAATGACAAATCAATGAGGTATTGTTTTCCATCATGACAATGCTCGGCTATACATTTTGATGAACGTCAAAAACTTATTGAGAATGGGTGGCATATTTTGTGTCCTCCCTCACATTCACCAAATTTGCCCCTCGAATTTTCATCAGTTCAGGTCACTTCAAAATTCTGAGAATGGTTTGGAATTCATTTCTTTGGGGACTATCAAACAGTACCCCAATAACTTCTTTATGAATAAGCTCAATGACTTTTTTAAAAAAAGGAATTTCCAGCTACTGGAAAGATAGCAAGTCATGAAACAAAATGGTACTTACATGATTCAATGAAATTCTTGGTTCAATTCCATTATAGAGACTGTACAAAATTCCAGGAAACATATATGAGCAAAGGCACCAAATATACCAAACGT